TTCACTCTCTAGGATGTCTGGCTCAAGGTCAGCGATCACACCAGCGTGGACATCAGGGACACATAGCTATAGTTATGGCTATTAAAAATCAGGTTTGTGGTTTCCCATCCACTCACTTTCATATTTGTTGACTCTCTTGTGCCAGGCTCTTCCATCAGTCTGTGTATAGAACCTTGACACCTTCCACAACATTCTTTATTTTCTCCTGAATTTGATTTACTCACACCATATTGGCTTTTGCTGTGCACTAAATGCTGCTGCTTGTATGTTTTTCTACTTCTCCTTAATTTCTGTATAATTCCACTGATTTTTTACTCTTTTGGTCAATGGCTAATGGAAACCCTGATAACCTATCACAGACTGCTCTTAAATTATCAACAGTTGTCAATCCAAAATGCAATATTGGTGGGGTGCATTTATCTTGGTGAGTCATCCGTTATCAAAATCAAAGATTTTTTTTCCCAATGATTTTAGTTCATGATAATTAGTTTCATAATCTACTATATCCTAAATGTGGAAAATTAGTTTTGGGGAGACAGTAGTTTCCTCTTGTAAACTGCTGGTATATTCCTTCTTAGTTTATGTGTGTATACCCGAACACACAACATGGTTGGGAGGAGTAGTTGTGAACAGTATTTTTTTCTTGACTGTATAGTATAACTCAGGATAACACTCTGCGTCTGATGAAGTGAATTCTGGTCCACAAAAAGTTTATACTCTTATAAATTTGTAAGCTTTTTAGGAGCCAGGCTCTATTTTAGCAAAACAACATCTAACCACTATATTAATATAATTAAAATTTTATATCTATCTATCTCATCTGCAGTTAGTCTTAAACTATGCCTACATCTTTTATTTACAGAGAAAGCAAATTTGATTAAACATCCTCCTGTTGCTATTCTCCCTCTTGGAACTGGGAATGACTTAGCCAGATGTCTGAGATGGGGAGGAGGTAAATAAAAATAAACTTACTTGTTAAAATATAAAGTGTTTATTTTCTCCATTCTTTATTTGTTTCACATTTTCTTTATTCATTTTTCCCCAAAGCATAAAGATGTAATACTATATAATTTATAAATATTTTAAATATAATTTTACAAAAACCTTTATGACTCAGTATTTAACATAATGCAATTTGGTAGAAACTCATTGGATCAAAATTAAGGAATCCAAATTGTCATTAGCTGCCAGGAGTGTCTTTCTCAGCCCCTGTACAGTATAGCCATGCCAGCTAATGAACTTTGTGTAATTCTCCTGGAAGGTTTGTAAGATCCCAGAGTGCCTTGCATTATCTTATGCAGCTATGGTTGAAATGTGGGAATAGGACTCCATGAATTGGGAGAAAAGCTGATTTTCCTCATTTCACAAGCAAAAATTCCACTTTTTGTTGTTGTTGTAAATCAGCACTACCTTTATATAATACTTGATAGAAAGACAATGTATTACATCAATGATCTTCTTCTGTGGCCAGCTAACAATGCCACTTGATAGGTCCACTTAGTAGATAACATATTAGAAGAATGCACATGTGGAGAGTATGTAGATTGTATTAATTAGCCCCCATCTTTCATTCATTCAATCCTACATTTAGAACCTCAGACCAATGGATACAATTTTCCACATATTTATTCCTCTGGATATGTTATTTGCACAAGGCTAATGAGAAGTCAAGGAGTTCTTTGATTTTCATGAAAGTATTATATAGTAATGGGAAATCAAAATATGAATTATTCGTATCTTCTTAAAGGGGAGCTATTCATATCCAAAGCATTGCTGTTTGATCTCAAATATAATTCATTTACATGTATTTGTAAATGTTTGGGTATGTTTCAAAGCAATTCTCAAGATGTAAATATAGTTCTTTCCTTCTTCTCTCATCCTGCAGTAGATTTCAGACAATCAGTCTTATGGTGCTATCTACCAGGATCCACGGAGGCAAAGAATAAATTAAAAAGTGTTTCATTTAAAACAAGCCTCCTGTAACCTTGTCTCCATTCTTCAAAAAATGAGGACCAGATCTATTTTTTGGATCCAATACTTGATTTGTGGGATTAAGAAAGGAAGGACAATGAAAACCTGCCCAAGATGCCATGAAAAGATTAGCCAAGGAAACAGGAGGCTTTGCTATTGTGTAAGTTCTGCCACTTTAAGATGCCAGAGAAGTCTCAAAATGGCTTTTATTATGATTATCTGCAGAATATTCTAATTCACAATTTATTGCCAGTTGACTGATCCCAGTGAATGAAACTTCTTACCTTGCATTCCTTTAATTTCTCTTGTGCTTCTTCCAGTGCTTATGAGGACCATATACTTTTGTATTGTTAAAAGAAAGCAGGTGTGGACCTGATCAACTCATGAATAAGAAACCACAAAAAACTATATAAATTGCTCTGAGATTTCAAAATGATAAGATTAAAGCATAAACAGCTTAGAATCAGGTTTCTTCATCTTATGGTTCTGTACATACCCTCAGATCTGCCATGCTTATTTTTCTGCTGGAAAAATGGGTTAGGATGGCATGCACAACAAATTGGACCTGTGTATTGAACTGTGGCCTCACAGTTTTTGAGCTCCCATTTTGTTGGTTTACGCTGAAACCCTTTGAGACGGACATTTAAGATTTTTTCACTGCTTTCTTAGGAAATCAATATCACTTTTGTTCTTACGAAGGACATACCTAACATACTTAGTAGTATCTGGTATATTTCCTATTATTGTACTGCTTTGTATGAGTCAAGTCTTAAAAATGGCTTTTAACAGCTTCAGAAAAAGAAATAACTCATAAAGCAATTTCCACTATATATCCAATTGTTTCTCCTTCCTTTGGTTCTACGGTACAGTGGTGTCTTCTAATGCCCGTATCACCAGTTCTGTGTTGTTATAGCAGCTCTTTGACACATTCTTCAGCTTTTACTTTTGCCTGCTAAAGATCACGGTCTTTATGCATGCCTGGGTCTTTTCCCTATAAATTGTTGGTTTCTTTCTAATATTCAATACATATGATAGCCTTTTTGTTCCAGTTAATAAACTATCCTATATGGTTTCCTTAAAGTTAACGCCTTCTTTTCTGGATTGCCAAAAACAAAAAGAAAACCAAGAAAGAATGTTATTCTTACTAACTCTTAATTAATCAATCTTAATAATTGATCACTGGAAATTTGGGAGAATAAATATCCATCTTGGTGGTCCTCAATAAGTCTTGAAGATATGTTTTTAATTTTTGAAAAGAAAGTAAAGTCACTCTGATTCTTCTTGATCTTTTCTGTTCTTACATACCTTTCTCACATCTTATGAATTGTTTTCTTCAAAATTAGTGGATATTTAGAGGAGCTATTATTTCTGTAAATGCCATATATAGAGGCTTGCTATAGAGCATAAGCATTAGTATGATGACACTATTGTTGTGTGATTTCTTTGTACTAGCTGGAGTTCATTTAGGAGCCAGCATTTCATTCTGGCTGAGTTCAATTTCAACTAAATCTGTAACATTTTGTTTCTTACACTGCTTAATTTGAAGGCATTTTCTTGAATGTTTTTGCTTTGGAAATTTAGGTTCTGCTGACTTCCCAATCCAGAAGGTTACTTCTGTTAAGTCTTAGTAAACCCATAAGAACATTAAAGACTACAAATTTATGTTATTTATTGAAATTAATTTTAATTTGCAATTAATTTTCTGTACCTTAGATCAATGTTGTGCTAAAATATTGAGTCCCTATCCCTGACAACACCACCAACAAAAACCCACTTCACTAATAGTGTTTTTGTAACTGCTGGTTTCATGGGCATATTTGAATTTCCATGCATATATTTGCCTAAAATAGTTAGTCTAATGTCTGTGTTCTACGGAATTCAAATTAAAAATCCCAACTTTTCCAAAAGCTTTAAAAAGATATCCTACCACCTTTGTATAAAATATTGTTCATTTGATATACACATTCTGTATTTATAAAGTATATTTGATTCTCTCTGTCTATTCTTCAAGAAAACCTCGATACATTTAATACAAGTTCAATCTTGTTAATTATTTATTTTTAACTGAAAAATGTCAGTTGTAACTAAGTTGAAAATATTTTACCTCACCTATTCAATGGAAGAATAGATTTCTTTAGGAAAATATTGACCTTTCTTTATCCAGAGATGGTGAAATCTGATAGAGTTTATGCAGAAGTGCTTCTTGAATATGAGTGTGATTTAACACATAATACTAAAACCAATTATTTTTACATGTGGTACACAGTATTTTACCACATGCATACGCCAGCTGCAGAAGCCAATATGGTTCATTGTGTTCTTCAAGCTCTTCTCTGGAACGTCTTCCTGCTTTCCCTGATTGTCTGGAATGTTCTGCAGAATAGAAGAAAGTGGGGGCACATGAAAAAGGACAGTAGTTCATTTTTTGAGAACTCATGTTCTCTGATGCTATTACTAGAATCCTATAACTTCTTTCTTTATGGACTATCCATTCTAGATGAGGGCTTAATCACTTTGCAAGCCCACTGTTAACTCTAGAAAAATAAGCTCCCAAATTCTCTCTTTCACCATTCTTTGCCTCCTTTCCTACGGTAGCTGATGCCACAACACTGATTTTTTCTCTCTGAAACTTTTCATAGGATTGGAGAGCAGAAGGGATAACAACAAATTTATTTGCTGGTAAGTAATTTTCCCTTCTCAGCGACACAAACTCTTTGCATGGATTATGAATTATTAAACAAATAACCTTTAGCATACACTGAATTTACTCCATTGCTGTTGAATATGTTGCTTAGCAATTCTAATTTAGCATCTTATAATAGGAAACAATGTACTCAGTCTGTTTTTTCCCTCCACCATTCAACAAACACCACTGTGTGCATATACAATTGATACTATATTGTCGAATACAATGAAAAAATTGATAACACAATAGACACTGTCAGGATATGCCCAATAATGGTGTGATGGCTGTTGTGTGTATTTAATGGCAGTCATATAACTGGAAGCCTGCTTAATGATGAAGGATTTTATTAAATTTGAATCCCTATAAAATAAAAATCTCAATAAAAACAGAATGCTTCTTTGGTAATGACTTAGGAAGTTTCTCCAGCATTGCTGAAGAAGCAGTTGTCATTTAGCATTGAAAAAAATCCAAAAGAAATGTCCTGCTTCTTCCTCATCACTCTTTTTGTATTATTTCTATCAAGAGTGCTATAAATACAAATACAAAGAGTACTACAAAAGATATGTGTTGCTGAAGACACAAATAGCTACCTGCAAATAGACTGTGTATGCAGAACATGGGCCAGCAGAATATATCGCTAGAAGATGCAGCTACTCTTCTTCATTGGGTCTTTTTATTCTTTGAGTAACAGTTTTCTATGTCAAAACCAAAAGTTCTTTTAAAACCTCATTTAGTTTCAGATGTGGTTTACTATATGGTATGAGAAGAGTGACAGGATCTGCATTTATGTGTGTGTCTATATGTGTGTGTGTCTATGTCTATACACACAGACACACACAGAAAATCAGAAGTTCTCATATCAAAATTCTCTCTCTATACACACACACACACACACACAAACACACACACACATGCATACACATACATACATACTACATTCACCATCAAAATGATTGTGAGAAAGCAGGACTATAGGGTTTTTTTTGGCTTTGTGCATTTCCACACCCAAAAGATATCCGCTTCCATTAACAAGTATAATACAAGGAAAGACACTGTAAGGGGCCAAAGCATGAGCAAGCAGATGCCAGCTCATGTCTGTCAAGAGAGGACAGGGAAGGCACAAAAGATTATGGGCACAGATCTTGCAAATCTTGTATAGAGTTGGCTGGTGGTGCTGGCTGGGATGGTAACATCTGGAGCATTTAGCAAATGTATGTACCATTACAGAAATAAAAGGACCTGCATCTTTTGCACAACAGAAATGAAATACTAAAGGCATTCATAACTTGGGATAAACAGAAAGGATAGGGACACAGTGAGAAAAATGTCCATCCCATAAGAATGTAATAGCAAGGCTGCCCCCAAAGACTGGGAAAACTGGCTACCTGGCATGTTGAAAAATCAGATATCGACAGTCCACAGACACATAAATATTGGTCAGTTTGCAAACTGGAAGGGGTGTCATGTGCCAGCACAGCACATCCCAGTGTTATAGTTGATTGACTCATCTAGAAAAGTTCTATTTCTAAATTTAAATAGTTTAAGAGTTATGAAAATATTTATTTATGCATAAATGTGTTTTAAAATTATCACAATGAAATGATTAATATAATTATATTTAATACTGCTATAATATTGCATTGACTGGGCCTTTCTTTCTGCATTGAAAATGAATGTTCTGATAGGTAGGAACCTATCAGCAATGACAGAGTTGACCAGGACATGTTATTGATAAACAGAAATACATTGCATCAAAATCCCCTAAAGTTTTTTTTTCTGCATTACCTTAGCCTGCATTAGTGGTTAAGAAGCCCTTAACATAGTGGCACTAATGCGCTTCCTTGCTTTGCCATCACTTACTTCAGCATTGCTACCACATCCTCATCAACTTACTGCTACTGTAGCATCGAGACGGTAGTGAGTGAGACGGCAAGCAATTATTTTGCAATTATTCATCAATGAGCAGGGAGCCAAGTGATCCCTGAACAAAATTTGTGCTGGGGCAGTTGTTCTGTTGTATGTTCTGCAGTGTAATGTCCGATTCTCAACTCATTACAGTGCAACTACCTAATTGGAGAGAAGGTGCTGAAACAGTACTTTCAGTGCCAGCGTCTGTTCCCACACTGCTGAAATGGTGCCAAGCGATAGCAGTAATACCAAGGGGTACAGACAGGTGCTGATGGCTGGCCTGACCTAGGTTAAATGCATCTTCCATGTGTTAATGGTGAGATGATGACCTGGCTCCTGAATTCTGCCATTTCAAATCACTGTGCTTAATTTTTTTCACAGGATATGAAGGTGAGAATCTTCTGAAGATTTTAAAAGATATTGAGAATAGTACCGAAATTTTGTTGGACAGGTGGAAATTTGAAGTGATACCTAATGATAAAGATGAAAAAGGAGATCCCGTGCCTTACAGCATCATCAATAATTACTTTTCAATTGGAGTGGTAAGATTTATTTATATTCCTGTGTGATTTGTTTTTTCTGTTCAAAATAACTATTTAGAGTCGATGTTCAAAGTGAGGGATGGCTGAATGCAAATAATTCATTTTTTTCTTAGTAAAAGGAATACATAGATGACACAATTTGCATAAATTTATTTACATAGTCAAAGTAGAATTATTTTCTCAAGCTCTTCCACCTGTTCCCGCATGGGCAATATAATCACACTGTTTGTAATGGTTTATATGAAGAGCTGCAGCACTAAATTAGTGGTGCCTATACAAATATCAGAGATGAATCATTCATTAACACCTCTTAACTGTCATGTTAGTAAATATTCAGATTTTCAGAGGCATGCTGTTGAAGTACATTTCTTAAATATACCTTTTTTAATGGACAAATAATTGATGACGTATATTAGTGTACCTACTCCTTTCCTACATCTGTTGTTGATTCTTCTGGTGACATAAAGATAAAATTTTTTAAAAAATAGACCATTAGATAGAAGTTTTGAGCTCAGTGTTAAGCACATACTTTCTGTGCAAAATATTCCAGCTTCAATTCCTATTACCTTCAGGTAGGACTGGGAAAGATTCCTGTATGAAACTCTGGAGCATTGCTGCCAAAGGGTTTAAGACAAGACTAAGAATGGTCTGGGTATAAGATAATGGACAACTTCTGGTTTTTTTTTTTTTCTGATATAATGGTATGGGGGTAGGTAGGGCCAGGGACATGAAGGAGGTCTACTTGCCAGTTAGGATGCAATTAAGCGCTAATTTACAGTCATTTAGAAGTCTCTATTACTTGTCAAATAATAGCCCAATGAGAGGATCCAGCTAGTACGTTGGCTAATACAACACAGAGAAAGTTTGCAGTCCCTTCTTCTTTGTCTCCACTATTTAATAATCTGAGGTATTCATCCTCTGAATAGAAAAACACAGTTTTCAGTTGTCTGAGACTTTGATTTTTAGTGGTGGGGAAACAATTTCCTGTCCAAAGGACATTGGCATGAAAAAAGTTGCAACCAATAAATACAAATAAATAAAAATAACAATATATCACCCTCTTCTACCAATCTGTTTAATTCTTTATATTTAAAATATTCTTCCAGAATAAAATAAGAATCTGAACTGTTAGCAAATTGGAATCACATTAATTTTGTACTAGATAAGGATTTTCTCTTGACATCCATGTGCACTATAAGCAAGGCGCACATGTTTTAAGAATAAGATGACAATATAAGCTTGTAATTGATGGTAGCCTTTACGTGACGGTAAGTCAAAGCGATAGCCAGAACGAACATGAAAAGTAAGACAAGAAAGAAAAATTATTTTACTGTGCCAGCTACTCTTTTAAATTATATTTATCTTGTTTTTATATCAGAAGATGTTCAAAACTGTTGTTGTTATTACTGTTATTATATTTTTATCTCACCTTTTTGTTATATATATAGTCAAGCCAAGGCAGCAAACATACTTAACACTCCTGCCTCCTATTTTTCCCACAGCAACAACTCTGAGAGGTGGGTTGGGCTGAGTGAATATAAGTGATATTAAAATTCAGTGGTATTCATTTGTGTTGTCTGGTTGGGGTCATTATGTGCTATCATAGTTGTCATATCCCTATCTGTACAGCTGGAAAGGAGTATCAGGAGACTGTTAATATCTTCATGAGTTTTTGTATTATGTTCCATTTTGGTTATATTGTTATAGTCTATATTATCATTTTAAAAAAATATTTCTTGTACATGCATTTTTATTCAGATATTACAGTCTTATCATGATGTATACTGTTCTGTGCAGCTTAATTAGAATGTTAAAATATAAATGTATGTTTCAATTACTATTATATCCCACAAAATGATAAGTGCGAGAGTTATGCCAACAGATCCTGATACGCTTCCATAATAAAAGGGTCATGCAGTTCCTCTAGATCAGGAATATAAAAAAACCTGCAATCTCCCTGAGTGAGGAGGGCCCCCAATTTTGATTCATCTCATATTTGCGTATTGATGGTGTCAAGGGGGAACATTTGATACATTATAATTTGTAAAGGTTTAAATCATCCATTGTACCTGCTAGAAATCGTAACCCCCACCTCCAAAAAATGAGCTGACTTTTCCCTAGTTTCACTACTGGGTGTTTTTACAGTCATAACCTTTGGAATTAGTAGTAATTTTAAACTTTGTTTCCTGCCTTTGCTTTCTCCTGTTCTAATTCAATATGTGCTGTTTCTGCATAAGACCACAGAACCGAGGATATGTATAGTTTTTATCTCTTTGAAAACCTCTGTGTTCACCACAGTCTACCTAGGTTGTTGAGAGTTTCTAGTTTTGAAGTGGAGTCCTGGGTACTTGGGTTTCCAGGACCCCTTCCTGGTAGGAACAATGTGAACAGATGAAGGGCCCCTATGCACAAGCAGTGGGGGAGATGGGAAGGTAATCACTTCCATGTTTGCCACTCATTCCACCTACACTAGTACTTGAGCATGGCTATCATCTCAGCTGCAAAATTCCAAACTATCACCATATGACAGCAAAGGGATATAGAATACTGGACCAGATGTTTGCAGCCCAGGTATGAGTACCCTAACTCGAGGACTTGAGGTAAAGCTGGCAGTGACAACGTGGAAAGCAAGAGTTATAAAAACAGCATCAAGTACAGGTAGTCCTCATTTAGTGACTGTTCACAGTTATGACAGTGATGAAAAAGTAACTTTACAACTAATCCTCACATTTATGACCTTTGCAGGTCTGTAAAGCAAAGGAAAGCTGAAGTAAGATTTTAAGCACAGTTGTGGTTTCACTTAGTGACCACTTTACTTAATATCCAAGTTGCCAGGCCCAATTATGGTTGCTAAACAAGGACTTCAACTTTTCTTGAAAGTGAATGCATGGGTTTTCTTTCATCAAGTTTAGAGACACCTCCTGGTGGAATGAGAGATGGGGATAGAAGAGAAGATCTACTTTATTTTCCATTTCCTGACTGAGAACTAGAAGGTTCTATTGCTTGTTGTTTTTCATCCATTAACTTGGTTTGACCTGGAAGTCAGTTTGTACAAATAGGGAATATGAACTATTTGGAATTCCTGAAAGCTGCTTCATTACAAAGAACTTCTTCCAAACATTAAATTCTAATCCGGTTGGGGTGGGTTTTTTGGGGGGGTATTATTGTATTATTGTCCAGGACACTTGGCAAAGTGAGCAAAATGTACATTTATTTGAATTAACATGTCAGCAGTTTCTGAGCTTGGAAGTCTGGTCACCTTAAGTTTGCTATTTTTATGAATCTCACCCAGTACCTCATTTACACCAATGAAACAGAGCAGGATCTCCAGGGCAAGCTTATAATTCTCTTATTTTGCCATGGTCAACATAGCTGTTCAAAATCATCATAGCCAAGGGAGCAGATAAATGCTATTTGGTCATCTAATCCTGCAGACGCATTGTTTTATTCATTGTTTTATTTTATTTTTTTAAATTTTATTTATTGTTTTATTTATTCATTTGTAAGGATGAGATTTTTTTTTCTTCCTTGATAGTTTAAAGCCACGCTGCAGAACTGCAAATGGTTGATGGATGTACCTCCACCCTTTCCAAAGTATCTCTTTGAAAATGCTTCTGTACTGCATAAAGACTTTCCCCACAGCATATGGTTGTAATGTGCCTATAGCATAGTGCCTTGCATAATAAAACATAGTCAACTGTCATGGAATAAACACTCAACAAAAGGTATCTTTCTGTATCTTTCATATACTATGGCAGAAAATAGGCAACTATTGCCTCCCCGTAATCTTGAATTTTATAGTCTTCTTATGTATATAGTCTTTTTATTTAGTACGATCTTTTTAACTAATTTAATGTGGATAGTTATATTTTTTTACTGTTTTTGATGTTTCATTTTAATTATGAACCACCCAGAGTCACCCTTTGGGGGAGGTGGGCGGCATATACATTTAATAATAAATAAAATAAATAAACTGAAATGGATAGGAGTGAGTGCGCCGCATTGTTGTGGGGCCCCCCCCCCCCCAAAATATTTCAGTAGTTTTCTGGATGAAAATGTAATTGGAGGGATATCTTCTTTATCTTCTGTGTTTGTGTTTTGTTCATAAGGTCAAATGTAGCATTTCATTAAAATAACATTACAAAGTGCCTTAGAGCCATTCTATATATTCATAACTGAAAGAAAAAATAAATACTGAAAAAGACAAGCAAGAACTAGAGATTCAGGAATATATAGTGATGTGAAAGCTTAGATAAATGAAACTGTCAGCTATGTGTTCTGTAATTAACTTATCTACGCAAGTCCATATATAGTACTCAATAGTTATAATATTATTTTCTGTGTAAGAGATTTGTAATTCACTAAGTAATGATCAGTAGTTCATCATAGTATTAATAACATTCTACCATAATAAAATCCTACCATAATAGTGCTATATATTAATAATACTCTCCAAAATGTGAAACATATCCTCTATTTAAATAAAGAACAGAAGCTTTCAGTCAGGGATGCCTGTGTTCTTCTGTAGCACAGGAATGCTCTCCTGTATATCATATTTAACTATAGTTTGCACATGGCATGAATTTTAATAGGTGTTTCCCAACCAGCCTGGGGAAGTCTCTTCTATAGTGGTATAATAATATACCACTGTAAGGTAAGATATTATTATGGTTGTATTCTTTTTAATGCCAGATGCTATACAGCTATTTTAAGACTATAACAGAAATTAAATAAAAATGGTTACATCTCTTAATCACTAACTCATTCGTTTGTGATATCAATTTATGGAAAGATTCTCAGTGCATTTGCATGTGTTGGGAAACTGTTATAGTTAACATTTGATGTAAGTTTCACATGAATAGGGTATTTATGTCATAATTACTATTGCTACTCACTGATATGTTGTACAGATCTAATATAAAAAAGAAATTGTTCTGGAGATAATTCCAGTTGTATATGTAGATTCCCTGATAATTATAATTTTTTTACATTATTTTGTG